TTGAAATCTTTATAGCACTTAGGCTTACACAGGGCTTTGCCTCACCAGAGTAGAGTGAATCACTAGTCAGTGGCTTCCAACACAAGCATGAAGTTACCAACCCAGAAACCCACTGTGGGGGCAGTAAATGGAATTGCTTTCTAGAACTAGATGAAGGGAGTTGCTTTCTATTAGAACCCAGTGGAAAGTGTGAGGGAAAGCACCTCAGAGTACAAACCTGTTTCACTAAGCACTTTCAGGAACTGGAGACTATGGAATGGGGATAGGAGTAGGAGGAGAACATTGATAAATAACTGCAAATGTCAAGATTCCCTGAGGCTCTGAGGTCAGTATAGATTCCTCCAGAAGTGAAAGCACACAGATATGCATGTCTAGTGGAGATGAAGAGAAGGAAAGCAATGCCAACCAGTCATCCTGCAGAAAACTGACTTACAGAGCCATGCCTCGCTGTTGCTGTAGCACTGGGGTCCTATCCTTCGTGTTCCTCCACTAGGGAAACTGTGGAAGGCAGACTGCTGTGGGGCACCTGACTCTGGCTGTGGCTCTGCTAGCTCTGGTCCTTTAGATCTAACAACAGATGCTCATCTTTCTATGACAGGCTCATTCCTCTAGACCTGATGGCTAAAACTGGGTGAACACACTTTATTCATGAGTTGTTTTACACGTCATCATTAAACTGTTCCAATATGAATGATTGGGGAATTGTGATATTGCTTCCAAATGGTCAAGAGGTAGTTACAAACAACACCCTTGACACTGTGGTGTCCATTCTTCACATGGGCATCTCATGCTTTCTTGAAACTTCTTTTCAGAATCCTTAAGTGAATGGCCAGCTTCAAGCGGTTTTCACAATGATGAAAAACAAGGCTATTGACCAATGTTCTCTTTGTCTGTATACAGATGATGAAATTACTCACAAGACCTTTCTTTGCCATTTTCCCCCATAAATCCTTGTGTACAGCATTCAAACACTCCAGTAACAACTAATTTGAGGCATGCATAGAGGCTTTCAAGGACACAGATGATTTGGCAAATGCATCTGGATGGACTAAGACGAGCGGCAGTGGCGGCAGAGCTGTGCGTATTTGGAAGGTGACAGTCCCAAGAGAAACAGCTGGAGATGCCTCAAGAAGGACCGTCCCAACACTGCCGTAATTTGGAAAGAATTTCCCTCCTGTACAAAAACAACTATGTAATAAGTTTGGATCTTCTGGAATTAGAAACTTTCTAGAAATAATTATTCAAATGTTATTTTATACTTCCCTGTTACTGTTTTCTGGGTGTATTCTTCTTGGTCAGAAGTACAAATGGAGCAAGCGATGAGTGTAGACCATCCCACAACACAAAGGCTATTGGCACCTGAGCTTGTGTTAAAGTCTTAGCAACAATAGGGTAAACAAAGGCACAGTATAGCTCTTTCACAGGAAAGCAACGTGTTCAGATTTCACATAACAGCTAATTTTGGGCTGTCACAGGACCCGTCTATCGAGCCAGCTTCACAGAGAAACAGCAAGGAGCCAGAGACAGAATGTCTACATGAAGGGCCATTCCTCACCCAACTAATACATAACAGGATTGTCATTTTCATCAACAAGTCCTAAGTCCCAGAAAATAAGAACATGTCAGTTGTAGGCTTCTAGGGTGCTAATAACATGAACTAGTTCACACAGAAAGGGGGGGCTTGAATATTTAAGAATGAAAATGCGTCCTGGTGGTAAGCACTCCACTCAAAGAGGAGGGAAAGACACATGCAAGAAGCCTGATTCTGTGTGAAACTCTCCCTCCTTGTGGGAGCGTGCTGTACACAGAATGCATCTAGATTATTCCAGACAAAGAGGGTTTTCATTCAGCCTCACGTGGCAGGGTGTGGGCTGGAATGAAGCCATGGGTGTGTGCACTGGATGATAAGGGATGATAGGGGCTTGCTTGGGGGAAAGCCCAGCATTAACCTCCACAGGAGGGCAGACTCTATTTACCCATGACCTGACTTGCTGCACACTAACCTCAGGGTAATGGGGTCACACTATCTCCCAAGACTCCCCCATTGTGTCACTATGACGAGCACACAGCAGCAGTTCTCCAGATACGGATGAATATGGTATACACTGTAGTCGCTAGCTAGGTCATCTCCAGCTACTCAAAGAATTTAAAGGCACCTAGAAAGCATCGTGTATGTGTCACTCTTAAGTCCTACGGAGGTGGCAAAAAAAATATCGCCATGCCTTCCTCCCCTGAGGAGATACAAGCCTCAGAAAGCATAGCTCTCAGGCCGAGAAGGAACAAGAACCTTGCTACTGCTGAGGAATTTAGGTCTTAAAGGAGACCAGAATTGAGGGGAGTTCGTGTGTGTGTGTGTGTGTGTGTGTGTGTGTGTGTGCACGAACAGAAAAAAATTGGTGAGACCAGTTCTCCAAATCCTAGCCAAAAGAACACCATCACGCAGTAAAATACTATTTATGTGTTCTATAAGCTGGCCTGCAACAAGGCAAACTACCTTTGCTACAGCAGGACAGTGTTTTCTGAGACAACAAGAATCCCCATAAGGGCATCGGTAGGGTACCCTTAAACACAAAGCTTTCCCAGAGTCTGGCTTTGTCCATGGCTTGTGTTGTCTGAGCCTGCTGTCACCTCTGGTGTCCCAACATAGGATAGCACTCTGAGCCCATACATGAATTGATTCTGACGCAGACTCACAGTCTTATAAATAAGCATGTGGCTAGAGAGGTGACTTCTGGAAATTGTGGTTGTGCATTCACCCACTGCTCCATTAGTAACTCCTGATAAAGCCGTTTTGCTCATTGGGATGAACTTGTATGAGCTGCTTAGTTACTGGTGCCATCCCAGATGGGAGGTAGATAGCAATTTTACATCTCCCTGGGTAGCCACACACTCACACCACAGAGGCCTCGGGAAGAACATCTTCTGGCTTTGAAGCTAGCTGATTAACAATACTGCATGAGAGGGGAATTCCTTCTCTTCTACCCATGGGAAGGGGAAAGCCCAAGCAGGAGGTGATGGGAGCAGATCTGAATCTCCTAGCTCTTAGCTCCAACAGTAGCTCTCCACACAGATTTCCAAATCCAAGGTACAACCTAGGGACAGCGCTTCCCCCAAGAAATGAATCTTTATAGAGGCTAAAGTGTGTCTGGAAAATAATGAATAAGACATGAAGTTCCATTCCCATTTACGTTTAGGATGTTATGATGTGGAACAAAATGTATACATAGAGATCATTTGGCTCATTTGCCATGTGAATATAAATTGTTCTTATCCAAAAGAGAGACCCTGAACATCTTTGTCTGTCTGTCAATCTATCACCCATCATGAGCATCTACAACACCAGCCTTTCACCAATCCACATGTCACTTTGGGTCCTTAGTAAGGCATGACACACAACAAAATGTGTGCTGGGAATTGGACAGGTACCCCCAAATCACCATCAGAGGCCTAATCTAAAAGCAGGGCAGACATTGCCCCTCTGACCTCCACAGAGCTGTGACTGCTCGAAGTAGAGGAAGACCTCTCCACAGCTCCCACACCAAGCCCCAGGCTCCTGGACCTTGTACAGTTAAAGAAAGAACTTGAAACGCTTTGAGGATGAATTAAAACAGCAGGTTATATTTCATCCAACTGTCCTGATCTAGCTGTTCCAGCATTGTGGAAGACATACTGAGTGAAGTGAGCTTCAGAACCATGCAGCAGCCTCTTAAGCTCTGGCCCGTGTAGGAGAGAAAGGTGGCACAAGAAGGTTTTCAGAGTAGAAACCTGTGGATCAGTGCTGATGAAACACACTATTCCTCTTTATCAAATCTGAACCACCAGCTTCAGCTGTTGAAGACAACAGTGGGGGGCAGGGATTAAGTGCTAATTCGCCTTCAAAACTACTTAGACCATTTCCTCATTTTCCCAGGTGACAATCTTGTTGGGATTTTTGTTGTTGTTGTTGTTTGTTTGTTTTTGTTTTTTTCAAGACAGGGTTTCTCTGTGGCTTTGGAGGCTGTCCTGGAACTCGCTCTTGTAGATCAGGCTAGTCTCGAACTCACAGAGATCCACCTGCCTCTGCCTCCCCCCAGGTGACAATCTTTACTCTCTCTCTCCTTATAGAAATCTTACCTTATTTTAATATGATATCCGAAAATGTCCTTGTCTAGAGGCAAATAAGTAGACAGAGTTCTTTGATAGCACCCATCCACAATGAAAGAACTTTCCATGTGGAAAATGAGGAAGGTGTGGTGGAGGCAGCAGTATGGAGCCTAGACAACAAAAGCATTCCCAAGCCACAGTCCAGGAGAAGAGGCAGGGAGCGAAAAGGCTGAGTACCCGTGGGATGATGGCATGACAGTGTGGGAACTTTGGTGCCTGCAGGGCACCCAGGACACAGGCAGCCAGGGGAGCTGGAAACCCATTTAGGAAGTCCCATGGAGGCCATCCCAACACACTTGAACTTTTCCTTAAGGACTGCCAGTGACAGTTGCTAAGACCTGGAGACTAATGTCTGTTTACTTTCCATGCTCTGGGAAAAGAGCCCTGGGGAAAATGAAGGGCACACATTAAAACATCAGAGACCTGGGGTGAGGCCAGCTGGTCCTACAATGCTGGCAAAAATTCATTAAGGAGTGCCTGACAAAGGCCAGAATGAAGAGGCATGGCAATAGGATCAGGTCAAGGGAAGGAAGAGAAACTGTTCACGCATTCCCACAGGCGCCAGTATCTGACAGGGCAGATATGCACACAGACCTCATCTGTAGTGGTGTTTGGTTTAGGGATTACTCTTTTCTTGAATCTGAGCAGTGGCAATGCATAAAATACCCACACCCATGGCTTCGATTGGACCAGAACTTATCATGGATCACATTAAGTTTACTGAGGTACCTTCAGCAGGTGATGAGTCAGATTGCCTCTGGGCCAAGCGCTGTGCTGACCAGGCAGCTAAAGGTTTCCAGGGACTCTGCTGCTGTGCAGATACAGGAAGGGGCATGAGATAAGTTGTGGACTCCACCTGAGCACACCTAGCTTGAGCAAAGCTGATCAGGTACAAATACCAGAAGGCTGCGTGTCTGTAGACATTCCTGCCTGTTCTCACTCCACCACACCGCTGCCAAGATGAAGTTCACAGTAAGTCGGATCTTCCTTTAAACCATTAGTAGGGGTGAGAGAAGGGTCTGATTCTTGTGGCACTGTTACCATAATGGAAAGAATTCTTTCCTTCTCATGTACTCATGGCGTTTATAAGTATGTCCACAGAGAAGAGTAACTGCACTGGGAGGGCTCAGCACAAGCTAATTGTGATAGACTTGCCTTCCACAGCACTTACTCCGGGGTTCTACTCAGGACAAACAGTCTCTGGGCTCCAGAAAGTGTCTGATCTTTCTTATACTTGATTCTACTTTTGTCAAGAGTCCTGAGCATGTTCTGGTCAGCCCAGAAGGTCACTGTTGTCAAAACCAGTCTTCACCGCTCTTGGCTGTTAACTGACCCTCCAAGAAATGAGCGTCCTCAGGCCCTATCCAGCATTTCTTTGAGAAAGGGTGTGAGGATGAAACAAGCTCAGTTTTTCCTCCAAAGTCCTAGGATGCAGAGGAGCTGAAACCAAATGGACATTTTCTATTGCAGCACACTCCATGTATTTTGATGGAATCATAAATGCAAATTATGCAAAGTATGACCTGCAAGTGTCCTCCCCAGAACAGGTTGGACAAAAGCAGGCAGATCACCAGCACAGGCCAGAGGGCTATATTTCTCGTCTAGTTCTACCCTCAGCAGGGGCATGCCTTTGTCTAGAGCAGTGGTTCTCAACCTTCCTAATGCTCAACCCTTCAATACAGTTCCTCACTTTTTTGTGACCCCAACCATAAAATTATTTTCATTGCTACTTCCTAACTGTAAGTTTGCTTCTGTTATGAACCATAATGTAAACATCTGTGCTTTCTGATGGTCTTAGGTGACCCCTATGGAAAGGTTGTTTGACCCCTGAAAGGACTGTGATCCACAGAACGAGAACCACCGGTCTAGGGCCCTTTAGTCCTTAGCAGCCACCTTGTGTACAGGGGACGACACTTCTTCCACATCTGTTTTTTTAAGAGACAAATTTTAACTCTTTGTAAAGCTGACAATAAGAATAATAGAAACACATAACCTACTGAGAATGGCAAAAGGTTTCTTTCTGTTGGGAAGAAAGCACCCCAGGTCAAAGAAAAGAACAGTTTCCAGAGCTTTCATTACACTGTGTATGCACCCATTTTATATTCTATTAGTCAGTTTTCGGTGTCTAATTCAAAATTCTAAAACTACATATTAGTATACTTACAATAAATCAACAAGTCTATATTATTATTAAATTCTCCTGTAGTTAAAGACATGGTGGAAGGAGAAAACATGGGTGGTTTGGGACACTGGTACAATTGGTAAAGATCTCTGACAAGCTTGGTGGGGGGAGCGGGTGCTGTAAAGAGTGTGACCCCCAGCCCTGTTGTCTGTGATTTCAGGTGGTCTTCGCTGGCCTGCTCGGGCTCCTCATAGCATCTGGCTTTTCTTACGTAAGTCTCGTTTTCTGAAGCCTGTTACCAAAATGCATTTACAAAGAAGAGTGATCTTAAACCAGTTTCCACTTCTTATGCACTTCAGATAATCAACAGCAACAATGAAAACAACGTGGGCGGAAGTGGCTCGCAGACAGTAAGCATCAACAACCAGCACAATGTGGCCAATGTCGACAGCAACAATGGCTGGGGCTCCTGGAATACCCTCTGGGACTATGAAAACGTAGGTATTGGACACAGGGGGCTAGGGTATTGTGCATTCACCAGCCATTAAAACCTTCAGTGTGAATTCTAGCTGTCCATGAGCACAGCAACCAGTAACAGCGCCCATGTTGCCCATCCGATTTTATTTCTTACACTTAACTATTGGTGATAAATGTTACACACTAGGCTAAAATTCAAACCAGCGGGCAATAAGGAAACTATGTTCAAAGACAAATACAAGGATCCATTGGCCTTCCCTGTAGAGAGCCTCTATGATATGAAAAGTCCAACATTTCATCTTTAACTCAAAGAGACTAAGTGAAATAAGAATGACAATATTAGTTGTGAAAGGAGGGAAAGCTAACACCACTTGATCCCACTCTGCAATGCCTACATTTGTATTTAAATTTGCACCTTTGGAAACAAAGTCTATCTTCTCTGCCTCCTACAAACGTCACGGATGGAAGTAGACTAACATGCGACAGCCAAAAATGTTTATTTCAGCAACACACACATGTGCATGCATGTGCGCACTCACACACATGCACTCACACACACGCACGCACACACGCACGCACGCACACAGCCTCCTACCATGTTAGAACTGAAGCCAAGGCAGTGCTAGATCCCTATTTCTAAGAGTTTGCAGGACTATCTCTACGTATTAATCACAGGCATAACTGCAGGCAGCAGGATCCAGATCACTCATCCCAGCTCCTCATGATCTTGGAGTTCGATTTTCCTCAGCTGTGACTTGGGACAGAGCTTCTGGGGAACCTGTGTCTCACTGCCTTCTCCCTTCTTTAACAGAGTTTTGCTGCGACCAGAGTTTTCTCCAAGAAATCATGCATTGTGCACAAAATGAACCAGAATGTCATGCCCTCCCTTCAAGAACTCGACAGACTGGCCAAGGAGCAAAAGGTAAAGGCAAGCCTTGTCATTTGGAGTGAGAGGTCTTCTGGTCTTCAGTAAACGATGAAGTCACGCCTACTCCTTCTTTGCACAGCATGCCAGCATGTCTGTCATGGTAAACGGCATGGTGTAAAGAATGCTAGGTGACTGCCTGAGTGGAGGCAGTTTCCCCTATACCAGATGCTACGGCTCACACCTGCCTCTTCAGGGTCGAGCCAAACAAAAGGTCAGCACACCTCAGTGCAAGCCCTCATCACTTCAAGGACACACCCCTATGGTAGCTATGGTTACCAGAACTGGCCAGCATAGAGACTGCCTAGTTAAGCTGGATTTCAGATAAAAAGAAATCATTTTTAAAGTCTAAGTATGTCCTATACAATGTTTGTAATATTCTTAATTTTATCTTTTAAGATTTATTTATTTATTATATATACAGTGTTCTGTCTGCATGTGTGTCCACAGGCTAGAAGAGGGCACCAAATCTCATTACAGATGGTTGTGAGCCACCATATGGTTGCTGGGAATTGTACTCAGGACCTCTGGAAGAGGAGTCAGTGCTCTTAATCTCTGAGCCATCTCTCCAGCCCCTAGATATTCTTAATTTTAATGGGATTTGTTGCTTTCTTGAAAATCAAATGTAATCAAGTATCCTCTATCCTCTGTCAATCATAGCTACAGTAGATGCAAAGAGGGAATCCATGGTTTTCACAGAGATGCCTGGGATAAATTGGTAACTATAAGCCACAAGGTAGAGAATGTAAATAAGGTCCATCCTCAGAAGTTATCACATAGTCCTCCCCTAGAGTCTAAGGAAGTTATCACATAGCCCTCCCCTAGAGTCTAAGGAAGTTATCACATAGTCCTCCCTAGAGTTTAAGGAAGTTATCACATAGTCCTCCCTAGAGTCTAAGGAAGTTATCACATAGTCCTCCCTAGAGTCTAAGGAAGTTATCACATAGTCCTCCCTGGAGTCTAAGGAAGTTATCACATAGTCCTCCCTAGAGTCTAAGGAAGTTATCACATAGTCCTCCCTGGAGTCTAAGAAAGTGGTTGTGCTTCACATTTCAGGATACATTTTGTTTCACACTTCTGTTTTTATTTCAAATCACCTAAGTCCCTCAGAGCACTTAGAAATACCAAGACATTCAAAGCTAGAATTCTCTATTCACCTTGATTTAAAAAAATGGTAGCCAAGAAATACCCCTACTGTCCTTGTCCCCTTTAGACCAGCAAATCCCTGGACTCATCGCACACTCATTTTCTTTCTCTCCTCTTCACATTCAACCTCAGGATAAGGAGCCTGAAGGGGCGCCTCCCAAGGAATTGATGTTTTCCATCAACCCTACCAGAGTGGAGGACCTGAGTCCCTTCGGGGCCAAGATTGCTGGAATGTGCCAGGGCATCCCAACCTATGTAGCCGAGGAGATTCCAGGTGTGTACCCCGACGCTGTTCACCCCAAGTCAGAGCTGGTGGAGCGGTCAGGCTCTGAAGTGTGACCACAGATGGTACCAACCGTGTGGGGTTGAGCATCAGAGCAGACATTCATCAGTGCATGTTTCAGAAGCGTTAGTTCATAAGCTCCCCAAAGCAATCTTAGAATCCACAGGCTCTACTACTTATGAGTCTTACTTCATGGAAACTGAGGCACAGAGAAAGGGCCCAAAGCCTTTGTTGGGGTTAATCCAGGCATTTGGCTCAGGTTCTGTGTTTAAACATTACAGAATACTGTCTTCCTTGGGTGGGTGGGATGTAGAAAAAATGCCAAATGTGATCAAAAGAGAGCACAAATGTATGAGTGGCTAAATGAAAGGAGACTTCCAGTAAAATCTTTGACTTCCTATAGCTCCAGTGCTTATTTCTTAGCATTCAAAGAATGCTGACCACAAGGTAAGAACTTAATCTACCTGCAGCTTTCCAGATCTCTGAGGTGGGCAGAGAGACAGAGACAGAGACAGAGACAGACAGAGATACAGAGAGACAGAGAGAGAGACAGAGAGAGAGGCAGGCAGACAGACAGAGGGAAACAGAGACAGAGATACAGAGACACAGACAGAGAGAGAGACAAAGACAGAGAGAGAGATCTTGAAGCTAGTGTGTACCTTAGAAATTATGTGACACTCCCCACAGTCCCCAAAGAGTTCCAGGACAGCCACTGATCCAAACTTTTGTTTTCTCATAGGCCCAAATCAGCCTTTGTACTCACAGAATTGCTTCACTGCTAACATACTGTGGATCCTAAAGCTGTCCTTCTGTGGAACATCAGAGGAAACTTATTAGAAGTCACCATGGATTTGATCATCAGAGAAATAAAGTGTGGGCTCTGACCATTGCTACACCCGACTATAAGAATGCTCTCTGAGAGTTGATTACCTTCTTTCAGGCTCAATAAACCCACCCAGCACTACATACAGTTTGTACTGACATTCCTCATGGTTTCTACGGGAGTACAGCATGGTGTATGTCAGACCCACCTGTCAGGCTGTATCTAAGACCTCTCCCCTAGGAAGAACCCTTTCAGAGGCTTCAGATACCACAAACCACAGCCTTGAGGTTGGGCTTAGATTATGCCATCACTCTCTTGCTGGTATATGAAATGCCATTTCACACCAGCAAGGACAAACATCTACTCAAAGTGGCCATAATCAGAAAGGGAAGTCTTCTACAAGGACCCAGGAGCATCTTTAATAACCCAGAGAGATGCTGGGAATGAGAGCTAGAAGCACACTCCTGCTGATACTGAGAACCTCAGATTGCCTCTTTCCCCAGAATGGCATGCTCCATCCCTGTAAACTCTGCCCCTTTCCTTCATCTGAAGATGAGCTTGCTTTTCTCAGAGGACAGAATAGCTAGACCAGAAAGTCAGCCTCAGTTATCATGTTCATATGCCTTCCCAGATCAAGAAACATTGCCTAATGTTGAATCCCACTTCCATATTCATACCCTTCATCATATCTTGTTCAATAGTCTACAACCTCCATTCCTTGACAGACCAAGAGTGAGATCATATGGTACCCAACCACAAAGGTATCCACCAAAGAGAAAAATCTGGAAGAAAATAGTTTCTCCGCATTGTGTGTAGTAGCAACTTGCACTTCATTTTAGAAGTTGCTTCCATACATTTTTGTATAGTTCCTGGAACTCATCAGAAAATCCTTACTCCATTCCTTTATCTTTGTATGAGAGATCCCTATGTAAACCTAACAAAATTAAACAGGATACTGAGTTCCACCACGTAGACATTATCTATATTAGTTAGTGCTTACTGTGAGGAAGTTATAGTAATTATTTTTACTATGTTGTAATTTCATCACTTTTTGTAAATTAGTGTTACTTCTGAAATATTCTGAAGCCCATAAAAGCAAAAACCCTGTCAAAGATCCATCAAAGATCACAGTTGTAGTGGGTTGGAGAGATGGCTCAGTGGTTAAGAGCTCTTGCTGCTCTGCCAGATAACCCACGCCCAAGTCTCAGCATCCCCGTGGCAGTTCACAATCATCTGTAACTCAGGCTCCAGGGAATTCCATACCCTCTTATGACTTTGGTGTGCACCAGACATGCACATGGTATGCAGACAGACATGCAGGCAAAAATGCATACACATAAAAAGACCACACTTGGAGACTTTGCTTTGATGAAGACAACAAAGAAAGAAAACAAAGTTCCAGAAAGTGTTCAGTGTCATGCGCCTGACTTTGGGAAGTGGTGGAGTCAATGTTTTATAGAAGAATTATCTAGTATCTATTTTAGGATTAAAAACAAAACCTACTGGGAAGATAAAAATTCTAGATTATATAAACTTACCAAAATATACAAAGGAAAAACTACAAGAACTTCAAAGAAAAACAGTTTTACTATCCTAGTTGAATATTTTACATACCTATCTTTTAATTGCTTATGTATGAAGAACTAAGGACAGTGATACTTAGATAAATTGCCTTATTTTAATAAGAATATATAGGATACCACAAAATACATATTTCCTCTAAGTACATATAGAAGTTATGTAAACACTATGTGCTAAGCCGTAAATCAGATCTGATTTATTCAAATCATTAGCATCATACATGACACATTTTTCTAGTTTTGGCTTAGTTGAGACAAAGAATATTTCCCCAAATGAAACAAACTAATTTCATTTGTCCTGAAATTGTGCGGTATGTTTCTTAATAAGACAAGAACTGAAGAAAAGTTAATGATTACAAGTAGAGCATACATTATAGCATGAAATAATGAAAGCCCTACACAGAAAACCATGTGAGTAGTGTCCATAGCCATGCAAAGAGGAAATCTAGAGCCTTAAATCTTCATTCTGTATAGGAGAGAAGGTTGACCATTGACTCGGACAGTCACCATTAAAAACGAGAGAAAAGTGAGGCTGAAGAGACGACTCAGCAGTTAAGAGCATTGCTTCTCTTCCTAAGTACCCAGCCCCAATTCCCAGCACCTACAAGGCGGCTTACAACATCCATGACTCAGGTTCCAAGAGATCCAACACCTTCTTCTGGCCTTTGCATACACTGGACATGCACATGGTTTGTGACATTCATACAGGAAAAATACCCATACTCACTAAAATAAATAGTAATTTTAGTGTGGGAAAATGTGCTATATCCAAAGCAAAAATAAAGATACTCACTAATATCACAAATAATTAAAATAGAAATCAAATATAAAATTCTGAAAAATCAGACAGAGCCTTGTTTAGGTCTACTTTAGTTGTATAGTTAGCCTAGTTAGAATGAGTCCAGGGTTTCTTCTCACATAAACTTCCCAATACTATTCATTGATAAGGCATGCATGGATCTTGGAAGACAGTGCTGTGATTCCATCAACATTGCAAACTAAGCCTTAGATCACAGCTGTATCCTTTAAGCTTATTGCAAGGATGATCAAAGGGCAGAGTTGTAGGACACACACACACACAATCTCATTAAGATCTATGCCTGCCCAGAGTCTCTGAATCCTTTAGCTAAGCACACAGGGAGACCAAATTGACAATACTGCCTTTCATGCTCCAGGGAAGCAAGTGGCTCCTCCTTTCTCTGTTAATTCATTCCATGGAAATTGCTCAAAGAGACAGTGAGATTCAGCGCAAACATCCCTCCAGCAATTTGCTAAGAATCTCCTAGAGAAGAAATACAGAGAAGGGGACTTCCCACGGAGAATCTCGCCCCTTCCTGCCCCCTCCCCACAAGGTTCATCTGGGCAGTGTCAAAGCTTGGGCACAGCCAGAATAGTCTGTCTCCTGTAGTAACCACTGAATACAATAAGCACTGGTGTATTGAGCAAAGCTGGAGTCACAAACTGGTTCCTGCATAAATGAACTAACCGTATCAACCTCGTTAGTCAACTACTAAAGCCATCACAGAATCCCAGCAGCATTCATGACACAAGTAAGCGTCTTCAACCAGGCGCCATCAGCTAGCCAGGAACTGGCAGACTGAAGCCACACGGTCAAGCTGAAGTACAGATGAGGGATGTGACTCTCTTTGCCCTTCTCAGGTGACAGGAACTGAACAGTGTGCTCATCACTGGAACCAATGGTGAGAAGAACTCGTGTAACTTTGTTCTCAGAATCTCGCTAAAATCAAAGTGGGGGCAGTAAGAGCAATTAAATTCACCACAACTGGAGAGGTGTGGGTTTATTAAGCTTACACCTCAGGACACCAGTTAACAGTCAAGGAAGTCAGAGCAGGAACTCGAGCAGAAACCACGAAGGAGCACTGCTTGCTGAATTGCTCAGGCTCATGATTAGCTGGATTTCTTCTGCAGCTCAGGACCACCTGCCCAGCGGGATAATGCTGCCCGCAGTGGGCTGGATCTTCCTACATCAATTACCGATCAAGACAGTTCCCCACAGACCAACCTGACACAGACATCCTCCAGCTGAGGATCCCTGCATAGGTAATTCTGAGCTGTGGCAAGGTGACATTTAAAACCAACCACCACACCTCCTCTACCTGATGCTGTGTGTTGGTTTATATCTGCTGCACTGTGGGTTTTTCTCCCACACCATCCATCACCAAAGAACTTGTAGTTCTTAAGTCTAATGAAGACCTTACAGGGCCCTGCCTCTGTGCTCCAACTGACACACATGACTGTTTTCTCCTGTTTCTTCTCTTTCTATACCAAGTTCCTTAAAAAACATCAGTGTTCTCCTGGGTTCCTCCCCCAGCCCCTCATTTCTTACTCCTCCTCATCACCCAAGGCAGCACTTCAGCATACACATAGCTCCAGTTCTCATAAGTCATGAATTCCAAAGTCCTTCCACGCATGCATCGCTCCCAATTGTAAAATACACAGAGCTAGTTTCTTGATTATGATTTCGTAATTAAATGTGAAGCTGTGGTATTAATTAGGAGGGATGGAGAATGTATTGGAATCTTTGGAAAGAAGATAGATGAAGGGACATCTTAGAGCAGGGGCAAGTCAATTCAACCGGGGAGCTATACTGCAGTTCATACAACTAGATTCAAGTGCAATGAAGACTAGAAAAATTTAATTGTAACAGTCCTATGTTAGGAAAACATGATTTATGGGGAGCTATCAACATGTGGGGAAAGCATTACAAAAATATCTACTGTATGTGCCTGAAGCGCCGCTGCTTCGCTAAGCTTCAATGTTCTTTCCCCCTCTTTCCCACAGTTCCTGCATTGAGCGCACGATCAAGAATTGTGCTTTAAACTGACCCCATTGCTTAGGAAGTATGTAATGAATTCCCATCATGTTTCTGCTTTGTAAGTTTCTGTTCCATCATTAAATCACGGCTCCTCCTTATCTGCCACCCAAGGTTTTCCTTCTGCCTCTGGGTGGATCTGACTGCTAAGAGACAGTTTTCTGACTATGGGTCTTTGTTTCTTCCTTATTGGCTCTCAGATTTGTAACAATTCCATTGAGTGTTCTGTCTATTTCAACACAAAGATAATAATTCCCCTTGGCTTTCTTTATATGTTTATTCATTGACTCCACTGTTTTCTTTGGGTTTAAGGCACAAGTTAATGTGCCTAAATTTATAAGATGATCAAGATTGCACAGCAATCATCCATGATGAGAAATACAATGGAGAAGGAAACAAAGGCTGGAATCACAGCACCCTTCCTGCCTTGAGTTCTCCATTTTGACAAGTGTGCTCTGGCTTCAGAATTGATCCCTACTCAGGAAACTAGCTGACCCTCATGCATAACAGGTGACATGTGATATCTCTGTTTTTACTTTGGCCACGGGAAAGAATGATGCTTTCAAATACGAGGATCCAGGATGAGTAAAGTCTTTGCATATTCACAAGTTGATAATATGAATAGCCTACATAAGAATGAGCTTTGATTCATTGTTAGAAAAACCACAGGATCTGTAAGTGGCTCCAGGAGAAGGTCAAGGCAATTTTTCAGACTCTCCCAATAGCAATA